GATGAATTCTTTAGCAGGAATGAATGCATAAACTTTAATATTCAATGGAAAAACCCATCATGCTCCTTATTTCTTTATTGTCACCTTTATAATTTATGTCTACAATAACGATTTCTCTGATACATTCATCATTTGGAACAAGGAAGTGATATCGCTCTTATCTTGGGAATTCAAATTTTAGTACAATTAACATCCTTTTAATGATATATTTAAAATAGTTTGCTTTGTTACATCAATAAAAGATTTTTGTTTAATACGAACATATATCACATCATATTTTGTAAACGCCTGTCTGTTAAATCGCATTCCAGAACTGAAGTTATGAATCTTGATTTGCATATCTATTATACATTTTTTGTTAAAACTTCACAAATATGTTTAATCTATGAATCATACAGCCAGTTCTCTGTTGCCGATAAAACGAACAAATACAGACTTTTCTTTGAGGAGCAGTTTCTGGGACCTTGTATAGGTAAAAGGAGAAATGTGCTTATGGCTATAAAAAGCAGAGAGAGAGAGAGAGAGAGAGAGAGAGAGAGAGAGAGAGAGAGAGAGAGTGTATGTGAGTACGAATTTTAATTTTCGCTCTCAATGCTGCACGACTTGAGCGTTAGACGTTTGCGACGTTAGAATATAACTAATGCTTTAACCTTTTGAACCCCTTTCAGTGTTATGTTGTTTTGAATGCCATAGACTTCAACACAATTTAGATTCGAAATATATGTGTCATGTAAATATAAATCTCTTACAGAGTCACCTCGATTCAGAATTCCATCTTTACCAAATCTTCTTATTTACGAGTTGCATCTCTATACCGAGTCTCCTTAATTCAGAATTACATTTCTATACCAGTTTACTTAACTCAGAATCACATATCTGTACCGAGTTTACTTAAATTCAGAATCACATATCTGTACCGAGTTTCCTAATTCAGAACTCCATATCTATACCCAGTCTCCTTAATTTAAAACTACATTTCTATACCGAGTCTACTTATTCAGAATCATATATATGTACCGAGTCTCCTTAATTCAGAATTACATATTGTATCCGAGTCTCTCTAATTCAGAATTTATATCTATACCGAGTCTCCCTCATTTAGAATTACATATCTATACCCGAGTCTACTTAATTCAGAATTACATATCTATACCGAATCTCCTTAATTCAGAACTACAAATCTATATAGTCCCCTGAATTCAGAATTCAATATCTATACCGAGTCTCACTTATTCAGAATTACATATCTATACTGAGTCTCCCTTATTCAGAATGACACATCTATACCGAGTCTCCTTAATTCAGAATGACATATCTATACCGAGTCTCCTTAATTCAGAATTACATATCTATACCGAGTCTACTTAATTCAGAATTACATATCTATACCGAATCTCCTCAATTCAGAGCTACATCTCTAATTCTCTATAATGAATTTCCTCATTTCAGAATTACATCTCTTTATAAAATTTCCTAGATTCAAAATTACCGTATCTATACAAGTCTCCTGGATTCAGAAATGCATATCTATAAAGTCTCTTTAATTCAGAATTACTTACCTTTACCAAGTCTCTAAAATGTTGAATTACATTTCTATACCGAATCTCCTTAATTAAGAAAAGATTAATTTAAGTAGTACCTTTTTATTGCTTTTACCTATTGCATAAAAAATATGCATTATAGTTCTAAAAATTAAATAAAAACATGTTAAATTTAGTAAAAATCAACGGTAAACGTCTAAATCATGTCAATTTAATGACAGTTATGTCTATTTTCTCTTATCTCTGTTTAATGTATCTTTAGTCTTCTACATCTTTAACCCTTGTTTTTAAGAAGTCAATCCATTAAGACGCATGTTTTTTTTTTTTCTTTCGTTTAGCTGTTTTCTACGTCGTAGAATTTCTTCCTTATTCCTTCAAGCAATATTTTTATATACTTACTGTTACTTAATATTAAATACAAATTAGAAGGCAGCCAAACCTTAACAAAAAAAGAATCAAGAAATAAATTCTTTAGCATGATTAAATGCAAAAAATTTAATATTAAATGAAAAAAAAATCATTCTCCGTATTTTTGCCTCCTTTTTTTGATTTATATCTATCACAATAACAATTTCACTTAAACATTCATCATTCAACAAAGCAGTGATGTCACTCAAATCTTGGGAATTCAAATTTTTGCACATTAACATTCTTTTTATGACATATTTTGAAATAGTTTGCTTTGTTACATTAATAACAGAATTTTTTTAAAGGCAGATAATCAAATTTATTTTTTGTAAACGTTTGTTAAATAAAATACCAGAAATTAAGTTATGACGGTTGTTTTGAATAGTATTTATGATTTTTTTTTATTAAAATATCAATAATATGCTGAATGGGACAAAGCGCTATGAATTATACAACTCTTTTTCTGTTGAGGGTGAAACGAACAAATACAGACTTTTCTTTCAGGACCAGCTACCGGGACCTTGGATAGATAAAAGGAAAAATGTGCAAATGACGATAAATAAACATGAGGAGAGAGAGGGAGGGAGAGAGAGAGAGAGAGGGAGAGAGAGAGAGAGAGAGGGAGAGAGAGATAGGAGAGAGAGAGAGAGAGGCAGAGAGAGAGAGAGAGAGGACTAGATGACGGACTACGCTCTACAGCTAGTCAGCTTACTGAAGAACGCACTGAGTAAGAGAGAGAGAAGGAGAGAGAAGGAGAGAGAGAGAGAGAGAGAGAGAGAGAGAGAGAGAGAGAGAGAGAGAGAGATGGGGGAGAGGATAGAGGTTCATTTTTCTAGTCAATTTGAGCGGGAGTTTGTTTTCCTTCTTAACCTTGCACAACCTGAGTGTTCAATGTTTGTGACGTTAAAATATAACTCATGCTTTAACCTTTTGAACCCCTTTCCGTGTTATGATGTTTTGAATGCAATAGATTTCAACACAATTAAGATTCAAAACAAGTGTCATGTAAATATTAATCTATACCAAGTCTCCTTCACTCAGAATTGCATCTCTATATCGAGTTTCTTTAATTCAGAATTACATATCTATACCGAAAAAAAAAAAAAAAACTATATCTATATACAGAGCCTCCTTAATTCGAAATAATTTAACTTCACTTGTATCAAACAATTTCATTGGCTGGAATCATTCAAAGGAACATATAATATTTTCTATAACATAACTTGCCTACGTCACAATGAGTTACGTCAAAAACATAATACTGCACTTGACGTTACCTTTTAAAATAATCCCTAAATTTTCAGCCGTTTTCCGGAAGAAAATTTGTCTTATTGTCTACACTGAAATTAGATTATTTGGAATGAAGATTATTTCAACTGATGTTATACGATACAACATAACTTGAGACAGTTAACGTTTTTATTTAAAAACCGCTTTGCGGTTCATAAAGCCTAAACTTCCCCAAGTCGTTTTATATGGTATAACAAAAGTGAAAAATCAGACTAATTCCTTAAACACCAAATCTATTAAGTATCTCCTTCCATTCAGAATTATATCTCTATACTAAGTCTCTTTCATTCGGATTTTAGTGTATTTTATACCGATATCTTTAATTCAGAATTACATTACTATACCAAGTCTCCTTAATTCAGAATAACATATCTATTCTGTGTGTCTTTAATTTAAAAAACATATCTTTACCGATCTTTTATTATGCTATCCACAACCAGCTTTACTCTGAATTTGACCTATCACCAATGCATCCTGGATATTTTATTCTTTTGTTATTTCTTTATTGTAGAATAAAATTGTCTGCAGAACGTTTAAGTGTTGCGGTAGCGACATATTTAGGAAAATTTTAAACTTCCCGATTTACTGATATATAAACTACGAATTGTTTTGGGAAGCTTCTTTTCAGACAGCGTGCAAGTAAAACCATGGCAGGAGTTTTGGACGGCTATCTTCGTGTGCGGCTTGTTCTTTTGTACGGCTAGTTCTCAGCAAATTTATTCTAATGAAAAAAATTACTGCGTCTGTAATGATCTGACTATAAAAATATTAAACGATAAAATTGACTCCCTGAGAAGTGAAAACGCGAGGATAGCGGTTAATCAAAAGAAAATTCAAGAAGAATTTTACGAGATGTTTAATATCCTGACCAAAAATGTGACCAACATCCACGAAGATTTGAAAGGCAGTATGCTGCAAACCATCAAGTCTGGTAACTTTTTCTCACTTTTTTTCTCTCTCTCTTCCTCTTTCAGAGTATATTTTATATTACAATTATTATTGTATCATGTTTTTTTTTTCTCAGAGTTACACAAATATAAAGATTGTAAGGACCTCTATATCCATGGTAATACAGAATCTGGTGTGTGTATGAGATACATCCATTTGGTAATAACAGCAGGGTCAGCGTCTTCTGTGACATGATGACAGAAGGTGAAGGTGGACAGTCAAGATCTCTCTATCCTTCTATCCCTCCTCAATTTCTCTCTATCCATCTTCTTGCAATCTCACTCTACCTTCATTTCTCCATCTGTTTCTTCTCCCCCTCTCTTTAGCTCCACCAACAATTTTACCTATGATTTCTCTAATAATATATTAATCTTTGATTTTTAAACTGATATCATATCTTGTCGCTGAATGAACATTGAATGATTTTTTTCTGGCCTATTTTACAGGAAGATAATAAAATTCCGAAATAGATATTTTTTAGTTTCAACGTAGAATAAAAATATATATAATATCATAAATTTGATAACAAAGATTTGTTTTCTATTCTGAATAGTTGTTGGGGTTAATAGAAATGAAGAAAACTTTAGTATGAATTTGTTTTAAAATCATAACTTTAAAAAATTCGTATATTTACTTTATTTTTTATATTTATATTTTTATATAATATATAATAATATCTTTATATTTATTATTTATTTTATTAATTAACCCCAAATTACTCCTTGTGAAAGTAACAATAAACTTAAAAAAAACTCCTATACTTAATAAAACCTCCAGGCTATCCAGAAACGGGTTAGTGGATCAGTAAATTTCGACAGACTACAAGAATGGATTTGGTTTCCCTAATGACTCCTACTGGATAGGTAAATTGTATACAGTTATGGAATGACTATAGAGGACATAGCAAATTTATGGCTCCCCAAAGGATTCGGGTTCCAGACACAGAAATATTTCCCTCCCTCAGGAAACCATGAATTTGCTATTTACATTGTACACATTCCATAACTGCACATTATCTTAGGTTGTTTTTAGGGATGATAATTCTTCTACCTGTATTATTTACTGTTTTAATTAGATTTTATTTCTTTTCAGGATTAAATGGAGTTCATAAGAATTTAGGAAAAATGCAATATATAACGATTTCTCTACTTTGATTTCAAAAGTTGAAGGTTCATTGCCTAAATGGAATTTCTGCATACCTTCACATCCATATGCATATGTTGATGTATAGGACAACATAAAATAGATATGTTTTGCTTTATTGATTCTTTATATATATTGCACAACGATTACATATTAAAGGAAATGACGTTATGCATCAACTTACCAAGGGAAGGAACTCCTCCCTCTACGTATCTACCACACTGACTAATGGGACAAAGCTCTATGAATTATACAACCAGTTCTCTGTTTCTGAAGAAACCAACAACTACCGACTTTTTCTTGGCGGGTCAGCTACCGGGACCCTTGGTAGGTAAACGGAAAAAAAGAAAGTACGAATGGCGACCGATAAGGACAGAGAGGGAGAAAGAGTTTAATTTCTTGTGACAGATGGACAAATACCAATTCTTTCTGTGAGAATCAATCCTGGAGTTACGTAATTAATAAAGGGGGATGTGTGGATATCAATATTTTGAAAGTAAAATTGTCCTTGTATATTGAAAATAAAGAGTCCATACGATATGAGCCAATCAGTAATAAATTGCTAACAGATTGAACATTTTCACGTCATAAACACTACGTGCATACTTGTGCGTAATGTTGTCAGATACATAACTCATTCATAGAAATTAATTAAGGTGTTAAACGATTATTAAATTCAAAACTTGCATTGGAAATGTTATTAATTACAGTTGATAACGATGACTTGTTGTAATTATCTCGCTTTTGTGTGGAAGATATAAATAGTAGGCTTAACAAATCAATACAACAATAAAGAAAGAAGTTAATTACACAAATTGTATGTAAGTGTAGTCGCACACATTTGAAGAATTTTAATGATTAATGTGTTGATAAAATTGAAGAAAAGCTATTGTTTCCTGTACCGTTTACTTAATGAGGTGCACACCCCACCCCCCCCCCCCCAAAAAAATAGAAGAGAAAAAAATCAAACCGTTATTTTCTAATGTTAAATCAATTTATTGGTTCATGAAATTATTGTTTTGAATATCCCTTCTTTATGTATATACGTATATAGGCTTACCAATTTCAATGTTTAAAAAAGGCTTCACATGAATGAAATAATAATTAAATTTGTTGATGTCACCCGCGGGCGCGGTGGTTAGAGACGTGAAGTAAGGAATCTTTACGTCGCGAGTTCCAATCCAACTGTAGGACGTGCAGACTGGTACTTTGGATTAGATCGTATAAATCAAAGTCAAGTGTCGTAGTAGATGCTGTCACGAAAAACTTAGAGAACTGCTCAATTGCCGTGTATAACATGTATTAAAAAACAAATTTTCTAGTTCTCAACCGGCAAGTGATGGCGTCACCATATGAGTGAAAATTCTCAAGGGACCCTAAACTACATACATTCAATCAATCAATCTTTTATTTTTGTTGAGACTCATCAACATGTTCGTATAAAGTCAAAAAAGAAATCAAATGATAACAGAAAAACAACGTTAAATATTAAATGAAAACAGAGTTGCATCTATGGTAATTGAAAGCAATAAAATTAAAATAAAGTAATTCAAAAAAAAAAAGTTTTTATTGTTGAATACTATAGATGCTTTAAGCTTTAAATGTTTAGTAAATAATAATGATCTAATCTGAAATAGGTGTTCATGTTATATTTTTCTTTGATAATTTTATAGGTGACTCTATGTTAGACACTTCTCTACCCCAGACAGAGATAATGACAGATTGACTGAAGATGACTGTTGTATCTTTTTATAATATTGTATTTTAGGTGACAGCATGAGAAGCCACGATCTGTCTGGGATGTCCTTCAGTACCCCAGACAGAGATAACGACGGGTTTCCTAGAAACTGTGATGCTGACAGTGCCATTAGAGGAGGCTGGTGGTTTAACTGGTGTCACCAAGCCTTCCTTAACGGTCAGTGGTCCCCGGGATCCTGGTACAGACCATGGTATCCTACAGTCTCTGATAATAAACAGACAAAGGAGACTTTTATGATGCTGAAACATAACTGACACTTTATATCTTTATATCCATACTTGTTCACGCATGATATGAAAAGTTATATACTTTTATCATAAATGATGAAAACTTTATTTTTAGACATAATGGTGGTTTCTTTAATATATACAATGTATCAAACATATAGATTTAATGTTATTATGTGTAATGAATTTATTGAAAAGTCCTAACATGTATTGCGTTTAAGATAGTGTTGTACATGTAACATCAATTACTAAAAACAAGAAAATCGCATTAAATATTGTTACATAATAAAAGTTTTGTTTTTATTTTATCAATTGTCGTTTTATAATTAATAGTCTAATGATATAAAGTATGTTAACAACAAACACAATGTTTTTTTTTTTAATACATTCCTTGAATTTCAACTATCCCCGTGAAAGGTCACATAACTGGGTAGAAATAGTATCCATCAGTCTGTCATCTCCATGTGTGTTGATAATTAGAATTTCATTCTGTTACAATTTATAAATGATGTAGAGATGATAATTTCGTAGATTTTATTTTCAAACACCAATATTACTTGTTACTTGTACTGTATTTTGTATATACAGTGAGTGGAAAATGCTGCATGTAATGCCAAACCAATTAACTGAAAACAAAGTATTATATGATTTATTTTCATGACATTAACGTTGAAGGCCTCAGTGTAACGTCATAAGTGAAAATCAAATTCCCCGCTCTTCTTGAGCAGTTTTAAGTTTTATAATCCACCTTCAGAAACCTTAAATCACATTGACATATATTTGAGTCTTTCAGACAAAAATGCTACATATCCCGTGATGTAAATGTTGTTAATTTTACGGCGCTAAATTTTGCGCACGGAAAGGGATAATTCTTTCTACTTTCCTGCATTTTTAATAAACCACCTGTCCTTTCCTAATATGAGAAATACTCTTTAAAAACCTGTATATTTTATCCCCCCTGATCCTTTTAAATCGTCCATTAAACCTTATCAAATCGTTTTTTTTTTTAATTGATAAACTTTTTTTCGGGGGGGGGGGTCACAGGAGAAGCCTATTAAGGGTTTGGAGGCGGATACAATATACAGGTTGATAAAAGAATATATCTTACATTTGGGAATGAAAGGTAATTGATAGTTCAATGCTGAAATGAAGAAAAATATACACCCAAAATTGGCAAAACGTCGTTAACTCCTCAATACTTACTTTACGAGATCGGTTGCGTTTTCATCAATAACTAAAATATAAAACATAACGCTACGGTTTCTGTAGCTAGAAGTAGGTACATGTTGCAAGGCTTTTAAATTATAAATGTATTGTAGACAAAAATGATAAGAGGATTGAGAAAGAAAAAGAAGATACAGTTACAATGATGGAGGTATAAAAATAAAAATATTTGCATTTATTTTTTTTTTATATTTTTCAAAAATATGCTTAATTATAAATCATCTTATAAATATTTAATGCCCCCTCCCCCCAAGGATCTTTTCTTAAAGAGCGTAAATATTTCCAAACTGTTACCCGCGTTCAATGGAATGGCTCTGTTTTACTGAATTCTAGTCATGTCATATGTAATGTCTATTAGTTCTATTCAATTGATAAGTAAAACACGCTCGTGTATTAAGGAAATAATGCCATATTGTGTTCTTATGTTACTGATATAAATGTTAATATTGCCTGGTGTATTACATTTTGTGTTCTTATGTTACTGATCTAAATGTTAATATTGCTTGGTGTATTATAAGGCTTTATTCACAGTCTGAGAACGTCTTGCTTACCATTAAGGTGGCATGATTACAAAAAAGTATATGTCTGACGAAGTTTTAAAACTCTACCATTGCCACATGTGTATCATCTTCTCCCTTCAGTTCTTCAGGTAATACTTCAACCGGATAAGACATATTGACTTATTGCGACACAATGCAATCAAGATTGATGACTTAAATATGGTTTTATTGACTTATTGTGACACAAGGTAATCAAGATTGATGACTTAAATATGTTTTTATTGACTTATTGTGACACAATGTAATCAAGATTGATGTCTTAGGTATGGTTTTATTGACTTATTATGACACAATACAATCTAGATTGATGACTTAGATATAGTTTTATTGACTTATTGTGACACAATGCAATCAAGATTGATGACTGAGATATGGTTTTATTGACTTATTGAGACACAATGCAATCAAGATTGATGACTTAGATATGGTTTTATTGACTTATTGTGACACAATGCAATCAAGATTGATGACTTAGAAATGGTTTTATTGACTTATAGCGACCCAATGCAATCAAGATTAATGACTTAGATATGGTTTTATTGACTGATTGTGACACAATGTTATAAAGATTGATGACTTAGATATGGTTTTATTGACTTATTGTGACACAATGCAATCAAGATTGATGACTTAGATATGGTTTTTTTGACTTATTGTGACACAATGCAATCAAGATTGATGACTTAGATATGGTTTTATTGACTGATTTTGACACAATACAATCAAGATTGATGACTTAGATATGGTTTTATTGACTTACCGTGACACAATGCAATCAAGATTGATGACTTAGATATGGTTTTCCCTACGATGAAGTTATAATAAATGGACATAAATATAGATCATCAATGCTGTAGTTATTTTTTCTAAAAAATAGGTTTAATCTTGCTCGACAGCAATTAAATTGCATAGTAAAATGACCTAACTTTACCCGAACTCACGTGTACACAATAGGTGCAGCCATTACACTTGAGGCATGCTGGAATGCACAAATTAGGTCAAAATCTCTCAGTAATCAAATACATATCAACATACTCTTATCTCTAAATCACTTAATACAATCAATTAAACTATATTCTCTATAGCATTATAACTAAGGAAATTTTCGTTCTAAGACAATATATACATGTAAAAATACATATGCGTCTATAGAACATGACAAAATGTTAGCACCCAAATGTAAGTTACTGTTTACCTGCTCACTTTGCAGCCTTTAACACTAATTCATACATTTATTATTCTCATATCGAGTCAATAAACATCAACCTCGTTCCTTAGATTAAAGACGTAATCAACTGTAAATGATAAAATATCACCTGAAGAGGAAAGAAGATGACAAAGATTGGGCAATGGCAGATTTATTAAACTTGGGGATTCACCGCTTCCGGTAGGAAGAGTTGAAATATATTTACAGAATTATCCGCCTTCTCCAAAAAGTTAAATTCACACCTTCTAATTCATACTTATACTGTACTTCAAAAACAACCCCCCACCCATCCACCCCCCCAAAAAATAACAAACTGTTTTTTTTTTCATATTATATCAATTTATCGGTTCTTGGAATTATAGGTTGAATATCCCTTATTTATATGTACGCATATAGGCTTACCAGTTTCAATGTTCAGAAAAAGGCTTCACATGAATGAAAAAAATAATTCAATTAATTGACGTCACCCGCATGGCGCGGTGGTTAGAGGTAAGAAATCGACATTTACGTCGCGGGTTCCAATCACACTGTAGGAAGAGCAGACAGCAGTAAGTGCTGGCACGAAAAACATAACACACTGTTTAATTGCCCTTTATTACAATATAATACATGTAATATATTACAAAATATTTAGCTCTCAACCGGAAAGTGATGGCGTCACCATATGACTGAAAAATTCTCTCAGAGGGACGCTAAACAATAAACAATCAATCAATGAATCTTTTATTTCTATTGAGATTCATCATTAATTCGTATACAGTGAAAATAGAAATAAAATTACAACAGAAAAACCAAGTAAAATATTAAATGTAAAAGTGTATATGTTTATTGTTATTGTAAGCATTTAATTACAATACAATTCAAAACAATTAATTTTTTTATTTTAGATACTATAGATTTTTTTTTATTTAACTTTAAATTTTAAGTAAATAAAAATGATTTTATTTGAAATACGTGTCCGTCTAATATTTTTCTTTGATAATTGTACAGGAGACAGTGTGTTAGATACTGGGGGTTCTAGCTCCGATCTCTCTGGGATGTCATTCTCTATCCCAGACAGGGATAATGACAGATTGACTGGAGATGACTGTTCTGTCTGTTTATATTGTTATACTATTGTATTTCAGGAGAAAGCATGAGAAGATAGTGACAGATTGACTGGAGATGACTGTTGAGTCTATCTATATTACTATACGGTTGTATTTCAGGAGACAGCATGAGAAGAGGGACAGCTGCACTTTACCGGTACGTCCAAATAACATGGAAATAGCACGTGCTCTATCTCTATAAGAGAGTCACGCGTCAGCGTGACGATTTCGCTAAAAAGGCTATAAAATGCAAAAATAACCTATTTTTGAATTCCTCGTCATTTTTCATGTTAATAAACTTCGTTTAATTAACGAAGTTATTAATTAAAACTAAAAGCACTTTCAAAACAAACCCTTGGCTTTCATTTTGTAGGCCACATTCCAAAGTCGTGACGTTTTTAAGCACGTAACTTATTTCAGTGCTGTGATTGTTCAGGGTTGGTGACGTAAAATAGAAAGTTTGACTTCCACTCTATATGATTGTAAACAGTGATTCAGCATGCACCTTATTTACGATGATTTGTATTGTGTTTTCTATGAATGGATATTTTTCATTGACTGACTGCAGCATTCTAGAATTTTTGGAAATGTTAGCGATAAATGTGATCCTTAGTTTATGGAAATGGTGAATAAGTGGAGAGGCAAAACTTGTAAACATGCAGTGAGGACAGTCTTGTTTCGAGAAACAGCAATCAGCAGTATAAGAAAAATGAAACGTATAAAGAGACACATCTTATATTTCTGGAAACAGAGCTGCAGTTAATCTAACATACTCCTGGGTTTACAAACTAAAAAATCTAGAGATTTCAATTTGCAAAACACTGGATACTTTACAATCATTGAGACCACATGGAATGCAGTTATAGAGGAAATCTCTACTAAAACAAAAATGCACTAGGATAGTAGCTATAATTAAAAATTGACGTTTATCTCCTTCATCACCCATAAAAACGTATTTACAACTCGGCAAAAATATACACAATTGGTCCTACATGCATGTATAGTGACACTTACGTATGGCTCCGAGTCTTAGCGCAGATTTATCTAACGACTAAGGTAAGTTTGTTTTATTCATTTTTTACGTATTGGGGGCTGCCGCCCCCACAACCCCGCTTAAAAATGCGAAAACCCGTTTTTTAGATATCTTTTTTCTCGCTTCGAGAGTTTCTTACACAACAAAATGGCGTTGTCCATCATAGTTGATACGTTGCTAAGTTTTTACGCCGCGCACTCTCATGCGCGGATCTAGAATCAAAATGGCGGCCGTACCGGTAAAGTTCATTCTATCCTGAGAAGAAAATGACAGATTGACTGGAGATGACTGTTGTGTCTATCTATATTACTATACTGTTGTATTTCAGGAGACAGCATGAATAGCGGCCATGATCTGTCGGGAATGTCATTCTCCACTCAAGACAGGGATAATGACAGGTATATTTATGATAACTGTGCTGCTTCCAGTAACCGTAGAGGGGCTGGTGGTTTAATGAGTGTAACTACGCCTGCCTTAACGGTCAGTGGTACCCGGGGTCCTGGTTCGACCCCTGGTATCCCACAGTGACTGATAGTAAACAGATAAAGGAGGCTTTCAAGATGATAATACCTAACTGACTTTTCTTTTCTTATATCCATACTTGTTAACACATGTTATGCAAAATTATAAACTTTTATAGCAAATAATATTTCTTGACATAATGATTAAATCGATGTTATATCACAAAGCAACGTGATTATGTTCCCCCAAACGAAGTTGGGGAACATATTGTTTTTACTCTGTTTCTTATTATTATTATTATTATTAGGGTCTTCCGTCTCCGACGGAAGACCCTTCTATTATTCTATTGTTTTTTTTTTTCACTTTTATTATTAGGG